AAACCTCAGTCTCCCTGCCTCTCAGCAGCAGGTCAGCCTCCAGATCTCCCCAAAGCACCCGCTCCTGCCTCCCCATCATCCATCACTGCAGCAGCTCCTCCCAGGAGATGGGTCTGGAGAAGACCTCCCGCTCCAGCCACAGGTCATAGTTGACCTGGAAATCCTCGGGCAGGTCCACACGCTGGCCCAGGACACTCTGCAGGCAGTTGTCCACAGGGAGAAAATCAGGGTTGCTGTGTGCCCGGTCGTAGCGACGCGAGTTGAAGCGCTCGATGCTGGCGCGCAGGGCGCACTCCTCCGCCTGGAAATCCCAGGGCCGGGCATCCAGGTCTGGGTAGAGGGAAAAGGGGTGTCAGAGGGGAGCTGGGGGAACCTTCAACCAACCCAAAACCCCCCTCAGGAAAGCTCTTTGCAGGTCTTTACAAAGAGGAACATGCAGAACATGGCGCGCCCACCCCCCAGGTCCCCCAACCCCAGCCACTGCCAGCCCTCTCCATCATCCCCGTGATGCCACCACCCCAAATCCCACCCTGCACCCCAGACCATAAGGGCTGCACAAATCCTGAGCAGCAAAGGGACAGCTCTGGGCACAAACATGTCACTGCAGGGAGCAGGAAGGATGGTGGATAACAGGATGCTCTGCAGCTGCTGCCAAGGACGTACCGTTGCCGTAAGCCCAGTCGTCGTTGAGACGGTGCCGCACCTTCTGGTAGATGGCTGACATGGTCTTCATGTTGCTCTTCCTCCACTGCCTGCCCAGGTACTTGGTCTGTACCTTGAGCAGCTTCAGCACATAGAGCTGCATCATGGCCTGTTTCACCTTCAGAGCCCGTTTCAAGATGGGTGCTGACTTGAAGACCACCAGCATCTGTGGGGAACAGCCCCCCCGCCCCGGCAGTTGGGGACAGTGTGGTGACATTGGTGGGATGGAGATGTGGGTACATCCCATGGCACACGTGCCAACCACCTCCTCCAGGACACACAACCCCTTTCCTGCAGTGTGTGCTCCCCCTCTCCTCTTCCACCCACCTTCTCTCACCTCCCGCTCCCCAGTGAGGTCTGGGGTGCTGCACAAGGGACACCCCAAGGTATCCACAGCCCCCTCACCCAGTTCAGGCATCCTGTGACAGCCCAGTCCAACTGGGCTGAGCCCCAGTGGGTTCTCCAGTCCTCACCATAGTGCGTGAGTGCTTCCACTTGGTCAGCTTGTTGAGGATGCGCAGGAGGTTTATGCAGGAGAAGAGATTCCTCCAGCAAAACTGGTTGTTGTCTCCGGCTTCCTGCAGGAGAGCAGAGGAAGGGGGTCAGGAAAGAGACTGGAGTGAGGATGAGGAGAGGCTGGGCTGAGGACCTGTGCTCAAAGGGCTCAGCATGCAGGCAGGATGATCTGCCAGCCCCACACACCCCCCAGCAGCACCTGGAGCTGAGCACAGGTGAGCTGAGGGTGCCAGGGCTGGGTGCTGGAGCCCTGCTGCCACCCTGCACCCATGATCCCCCCTGGGAAGCACCCCAGGGTGCCAGGACCTGGCAGAGAAGGGGAGAGACTCACCAGGCTCTCTGCTGTCAGCTCTGGCAGCTCGTGCACCACGCAGTACGGGTAGTCCAGGACAGAAATGCTGCAAGAAGGAGAGGGGGGGGATCATGCTGCTCCCCTAGATCCCACCTGGCCTGGGGGCAACGCAGCTCCACACCTCCCACCCACTGGAGATGAGCTGCAGTGGGCAGGGAGGGATTGTGGAGGGGCAAAGCAAGCAGGGAACCCCTCCCCACACCCAGCAGGGACGTGGACAGACTGTCCCCTCCACTACCTGTTCTTGGCAGTGATGTAGGACATGATGTTCTGGTTGAAGAACTTCAGGATGAGTGGGATGCAGTTGGCAAACACCAGATGTTGGGCCATGTACTCAAACTGGGGAGAAAGGTGGGTGAATGGGGACCCATTCTGGGTCCTGCCCATCTCCAAAGCCCCATGTGGGGCTGTTGGACCCCGATCCACCTCACCTGGTAGATGTGATTCAGCTTGAAGTGCTTGAGCAGGAGGAGCAGCACGGCAGAAATGGCTTTGACGATGATCTCCTTGTGTCGATTGACATCCACCCCCAGCTTCATGCTCTGCAGCACTGTGGTCCTGAGGGACACAGAGGGATCCTTGGGCTGGGGCACTGTTTGCACACTGCCAGCCCTGGAGGTGACAGCAGACAGTCCTACCATCCCCTGAGCTCTTGGAAGCCACCTGCAGCCAGTTCCTGCAGCAAGGGACAATTTCTGGCACACCACTGAGCAGGATGTGATGGTCAGATAACCCAGGAAGCCTCAGCACAGGTCCAGTCCAAACCACACCATCCTGCCTGGCTCCCTCCCATCCCAATTTCCCTTCCCACCCAGCACCTCTGATCGCCCTCCACGGTCACTCACGGCATCTCCTCAGGTAAGACATCTGCCAGGATGTTGATGGAGTCTGTCTTGGCTTTGGAGGTGGGGGCTGCAGCAAGGAGGATCTTCAGCAGAGCAATCTGGGGAGAAGGGAGAGATGGAAAAGGGGATGGGAATGGGGGGACTGGCCACAGATCCCCCTCCCCACTGCAGGAGGGAGTAACAGGGACATGTATGTGGGGAGGGAAGGAAACCTGGGGAGGGGGCATCACTGGAAAGCGATGGGGCAGTGGAGGGAGGCTGCTCCACTGAGCCCAGGGGACCCCCCCGTGCTCCCCAGCTCACCATGTACTGTGGCAGGCTTGGCAGGAGGCCCTGGTACAGGATCTCTGCAGGGACTTGCTCCACTTCTTCTTCTCCCTGGTGTCAGGAGGGACCAGAAAACTTCACACCAGGAGTTGCCACCAGTGCTGAGGGCATGGCTCAGCCCCCAGCTCAACCCCAAGGGCAGGACACCTCCAGCACCTGCCCAAAACCTCCCCACACACCCCACCTGCTGCCCCAGAGAAATGGCTCCTCCCTCCCCAGGAGAGCAGCCACCTCAAAAGCCAAAAGGCCTGGTAGGATCAAGTGCCCCCAGCTCAGGAGCTTCATCTCATCCTCGTCCTCATCCCCACTCACCCCGGAGAGCGGGGAGCGCAGGTACTCGTCCTCCATGTGCACCTGCACCTCTGCGATCGATGTGTACTTGTGCTGCACAGGGAGAGAGGAGGGGTTCACACCACGGACCCCCCCATCGATGCCACCCACCCCAGCCTGGTCACATCATCATCTTTTTAAGTCCCTCAGGGACCTCTGTTACTCCTGTCTCAGTGGTGACTGATTTGGCAGGCAGGGTGGTGGCTGCTGGCCTCACCTCTGGGACAACCCCAGTAAGAAAGGGATGAAACCAGTAAGGAAAGGGCTGGGAGATCAGGGACGGGTTCAAAACTTGAGGCCTCTCCCACTCCAGGGCTGAGCAAGTTGGAGAGGGGTCAGAAAAATGCACCAGTGACCTCTGATGGGTACAGGGGGATGGCAAAGGGGCACCCACACCACAGTAAAGGCTGGAGGAATTCATCAACGTACTCACCAGCTTCAGGGTTCGGATGCTCTCGTGGATGGGCCTGGG